TAATATTTTCATCTATCTCTTTACCTTTCCTCTTCTATCCCTTTTTTAATATATATTTTTTTTTTTAAATATACGAACAAATCAAATTTGTTCACATAAACTTTGTTCCAATATTTTTCAAATGTAATTCATTATTTTGTCTTTCTCACATTCGTTTCTTTTATCTTCAAGAAATATATTTGAAAATATTTATGATTTAATAGATGGAGATAAAAAAAAGAAATTAATTATCGGTATTATTAATATTAAAATAACGTTGAAATATTTTCCAAGTATTTTATCGTCCGTAAGTATTATCTTTCGTAAAAATTTCAAATTCGTTCTGTTCGAATTCCAACTATAATAAAGGAAAGATATTTTTTCTATAGTCATCCATCCAGTCGAAGAACTGACTGAGATGTTGTTTGAAGATCGTATTTGTAAATGGGTGTTAAAAAAATTCTTTTTTCCTCTTTCTATCTTTTACTTCTTTTCTTTTCTTTTCTTTTTCTTTTCTTTTTCTTTTTCATTTTCATTTCGTATTATCTTTCGAAGAAAGAGGAAAGAAGATTTTTAGTATTCACCTTGGAATTTCTTTAACTACAAAGACCACTCGTACGTTTGAACTTTGATGCAATTCATGTCTTTTAGAAAATATCTATCTACCTTCTACTACTACACCTACCTCTTCCTCCCCTATACCCTTCTACCTTTCTATTAACTCCCTTAGCTTTTCTTAGAATCTTTTCTTTATGTTACAAGTTCGAATTTTCCTCGAACTTTCTCAAGACTTACTGCAAATATTAACTATCGATGTTAACGAGAAAATTTAGCGACTTAATTTGTTGGACAAATCTCAAAAAAAAAAAAAAAAAAAAAAAAAAAAAAAAAAATAGAAAACCAAGAGAAAATTAATTTTAATTCAAGTACGAACGAAAGTTCGATGAACTTTTAATTGAATAGAAAAAGAAAATACCTAAAAAAAAAAGACTTACAAATTACGAAGATTTTAATTTTTCTTACGTTAAACCGAAAAATATGTCAAGTGTGGTTAGATTTATTTTTACAAAAGAGAATAATATTTTATCTGATAATGATATATATCGATTTTCACATACATGTATATCTCCGAGAATCCTATCAAAATTCATGATGTTAAAAGGAAAGTTCGTGTTTCTCGTAAATCCTATTTGCTACTAGTATTCTAATCCATCGTATTATAATACTACTACTGGATAATAAATTTGCGAGAGGTTTCTTTGTGGCATCTAACGAAATTACGTTCACATATAATCATAACGTATAGTTCAACCAATCTTCGATAGTACAATATTTTATGATAGATACTTAAATTCATGTGTTGTTCAGTTTGTTATATCACATATTTCATACCTTTCACCATAAAAACAATGGTTTCTTTTGTCGATCAAATTGAACATTATAAAAAAAAAAAAAAAGAAATAATAAAACGTTTTGTATGCCGAGGCTCAAAACTTTTCAACCCACCTACTACGCATTAATCCGAAACTTTTCATTTCTATTACAAAATTATTATCGATCGATCATTATAATATCTTTTTTTTTTTAAGAAACAAATATTAAGAAAGGAAAAAAAAAATTGTATGAGAAAATATGAACGTGAAATTCTGAGAAGGGTCATTTCGGCAACGTTTGTGAATTTCGACCAATCCGACCTTGGTAGAAGAGATTCTTCTCACCATGTTGAGTAAGAAGAGAAGGCAGAGAAGAGTTACATCTTTTTCTCGTCAATCTTTCATCCCGTCTTTATTTCTTTATTTCTTTCTTTTCTTCTCTCTTTTACGCCGTCTTTCACATTTCGTCTCATTTGCATACGAATTAATTGGCCGCAATTACGCAAGATTTACGACGCCAAGAAATAAACTGGCCCCCATCACTCTGATTCCACATTCACGATTGTAAAACTTTTTTCTTAACCATAGAAATCGATTTTATAAAGTATACACTTTCACGATGATGTCTTTTATTCGTATTCTTTTGTTCGCATTTTGATATTATTGTCACATCTCTTTGTAATATAACATAATTTAAAATATTATTTCTCTTAGTTATTTTATATCGCAAATTATTGCAAGAAAAAATAAAGATAATTAATATAATATATGAAAAAAATGATCTAGTTTTTAACGTATAGAGATACCGTCGAAGAAATTATTTTTTAATATTATAATTTACAAAAAACACAAATACTTTTCATTTTACAAAATAAGATATTATAATAATGAAAAAAATTATCATTTTGTTAAACGGATTATTTTCAACGATCAATATTATAATAATTACGTAAAAATTAATGATATTTTTGGATGATTTGTCATTTAACCGTTATAAATTATAAAGGAAAAGATTTATTGACAAACGTATATTAAATAATATCATTGATTTGAAATTACGATAGAGATGGTAAGATCTATCTATCGAATGGTGTTGATTATCGATTGGAAAAAAAAATAAGAAATGATAAGGTACGGCAGGAACTTTAATGCCTTCATTTAATAACTGGACAAATTCATGCCGGAAGACTAAGGAATCGATTTATTTGAAATGATTTGAAAAAAATTGCACCGCGTTGCTCTGGTTAATCGAACGAATAGGAAAGTAACGTAAGTGAAAACTAAAATTCAAATTAAAAGTAAACTAAACCAAATCGAATCTCGAATCGAATCGAATTGATTTGAGAATTAAGTGGAAAAAGTAACTATAAACTTTAGTTATCATTTTGTGAGAACGAAAGCTAGCCAAAGAGTATCACTACACACACGTTATGCACTTCCTATGCAATTGCGTGCACGCACGCGCGAAAACAGTCCACAAGGGCATGCGTGACACGCTTTTCTCTTTTCTCTCTATTCGTGTTTGGCTTTTTTCCAGAAATGCTTTTCTCCGTGGTTCTCGGTATCATTTGTTCGATCGATCGATCGAACGATCGATTTCACGGTAAAGAAATGAAAAATTTACTATAAGGGTAAATGTTATATTGAAAATTGTTTGACACGAGTGACAAAGTTTGTATCGATTATAAATATACTTTAATATAACGAATCTATATTTAAAGATACATTTTTCTTTCCTTTTTTTCGGTTTAATATACTAATTTTTTTATCTCAATATGTTACACAACGTGACTACAAATGTCTCCGTTTTTATTATTGCAATAATAATTTAAATTTGTTTTTAATTAAAATCAAATATTAACCGAGGGAACACGTTCGTGATACGTATTTTTGTTGTTGTAGTAATAAAAAAAGAAGAAAAAAAAAAAGAAATACTATTTTCAAAATTTCTCGGTAGCCAGTATTTAATTAAAATATAAATATCAACCCCTTTTGTGTGAACTCTTATTACAGAATCTGCCTCGAAATTGTTTTCGCTTGACATCTTGTTACAATTTTTTTAATTGCGAAAAATATCACATTTTTATTAAAAAGAAAAAATATTATTATTAATAAAATAATACCCCTATATATATATATATATATATACATTTGATATAACGAACGAATTTTCCTAAATGACTAAAAAATGAATATTTAAAAAAGAAAAAAGGCAACAAAAAAAAAGTAAACCTTATCATAAACCCGTATTATCATTGTACGAAATGGAGAATAAAAAGGGGAATATAAAAATAATGAAAATAAAAAAGAAAATAATAAGAAGAGAAGAATAAGATATCGATGACGTCTCTCTCTCTCTCTCTCTCTCTCTCTCTCTCTCTCTCTCTCTCTTTCTCTCTTTCTCTCGTGCCATTCTCCTCCTCGTGGAATTTCTTCCACGGGGAACCAGTTTCTTGCGTTCTATCTTTTCTCTCGGCAAACGAATCGCTAATATTTATTTCGTACTTCGGTCCAGCGCCGAAAAATAAAAAAAAAAAGCTGATATTACAAGCGGATAATAACTCATTTCGTTCAACATATAAGTATATCCGTGAAAAAAAAAAAAAAAAAAAAAAATAAAAAAAGAGAGAAGCAAAAAAAAAATATATTATTCTCGAATAATAAGAATAATAAGAATATAAGAATTAGAATTAATAAGAATAAAAAAAATTAATGAAAATATCGTGCGCTTAAGGTATATGTAAGTATTATTATACTTTACTAGCGTTATGCGAATTCGCGCCTTTCGACGCGGAAACAGTGTCGTACCTGTCAGCGAACGTTATCTAATCGGTAAGAGGTGTTATCAGAGAAGCTTCTCTCTCTTTCTCTCTAACCTCTCTCTTTTTCAGCGTACGCTTTACTTCGAACGTAACCTTCTTGGAAATTGCGAAGTACGGCGTAAAAGATAAATATATATATATATGTGTATTTAAAAAAAATAATAAAAATAGTAAAAAAAAGTGCAAAAAAAAAACAAACACATACACACACACACACATTCAATAACCATCTTGTCTGCCGGCTGCAAAAGCGAATCTTTTACGAGCCCGCGGCTTTTCGAAAACGATTTTCTTGTCCTTTTAAATGCACCATAATACCACATTTGATTTTATTTTATTGTTTACTCTTTCTTTCTTTTTATTTTATTTTTTTTATCATTTCTCCTTCTCTCCTTCTCTCTCCTTCTGGTTTCTTTTTCTTCTTCTTTCATCGTCAACTTTATTCCGGAGACTAATTACGCTAAAGGGGCATACAAATTTTCGGCGCTGCGCCTACCGCGTCGAAGAATTAATTCGATATACATATATGTGTGTGTGTGTGTGTGCGTGTTTCTTCTTTTTTTTCACCCCCACCATTTTAATTGCGTCGCTTTTACGTCGTCGGCTGTTAAAAATGACGCGAAATCGTTTAACCGACTACGACGTTCCCTCCCATTATCGCGATAGACGGTTAAAAATTCGTTTTAAAATAAACAGACGAATTACGAGATTAAACGTTATCGTTGACTTTTTCTTTTTTTTCTTTTTTTTTTATATATGTATATATATATATATATATATGTATATGTACGCAAGAAGAAGAAGAAGAAGAAGAAGAAGAAGATACCTCATTGGTGGAACCGTGACCGTTCATCTTGCCGTCACCTCTGGTATCCCATTACCGGTCTGCGGCAAAACGCTCCAAGGATCGTTCACCTTCTTCTCGCATCGCTTCTCGAAAATGGCGCATCTCCTTCGTTCTCTCCTCTTCACTCTTGTCGCCCTTCGAAACAGTGTCCGTCCTTCCAGATTGTATGCGTCGAACGTGGTCAACCAAACGTACGAATGAACGTACGAACGAAAATCAGTGGTGTAAGGTAGACACTTAAAGGGACAAAACGCAGACGAACGGAATGGAAGAGAAAGAGAGAGAAAGAGAAAGGTGTTACAAGAGAATTCGATGATACCGGAAGAAGGGTTAGTTTTGTCACGTTGCTGGATTGACACCGGTCAAGGTCACACCGGCAAAAAAAAGAAACTTCGGTCACTAATTTTGGCACTGTCCTCTCTCTCTCTCTCTCTCTTATTCCTTCTAATGGTTCGTCGACCCTTTCTTCTCTCTCTCTCTCTCTCTTTTTGTATTCTTCTTCTTCTCCTTCTTCTTCTTGGTTGTCGTTGACTTCTTCTTCTTCTTCTTGTTCTTCTTCTTCTTCTTCTTTGACTATCTTCTTGCTCGCATCGTGATCCTCTTTCAGATACAATATCTTCCGCTCGATTTCAGATGGCTTATCGGAAGTAGGTATCGACGTCACGACGCGAATCGATCGTGCGATCGAATCGAGTATTAGTCTCGAGAGACTCTTTCGAACGTGCGTTGTACCATACCGTCGTAGTAGTTCCTCCTCCTCCTTCTTGCTTGATGTTACTTCTTTCTTTCTTTCTTTTTTTCTTCTCTTCCTCGAGTAGGAAGAAGAAAAAGAAGAACGTGGGACCAGTGGTGGTGATGGTGGTTGTGATAGTGGTGGAGGTGGTGGTGGTGGTGGTGTTCGGTTAATGCTCGAAATACCCACCGGCCTATCGATTTTCATTCAAAGTGACAAACTTAGCTTAGAAACTTTATTCAAACTTTGTTTTTATTTATTTTATTTTTTTCAGTTTATTTTATAAATAAATTATTATAATGCAATTCTCATCGTTGTCAATAAATATTTGATTTAATTAAACGATCATCACTACGAGGTTACGAGTGTTATTAATACACAGTCTCACATTTCTCACTTAAAATTATCGTAATCCTTCGATGATCTATCTATCTATCGATTTATCTATCTGTCTATATATCTATTTATCTATCTATCTATCTATCTATTTTTCTATCGATCGATCGATCAATCAATGTGATCGTATAAGAGAAAAAAAAACAAAGATCACGTTTGAATACGTTTCGAGATATCTTTGTGATCAATTATTTCGTTAACGAAAAAATAGGTGTAATTGGTGGAATTGATATAATATATATACATACACATATACATATATAGTTATATATTATGGATTTTAAAACGCGAATCGATCTTTCTCCCACGTCCTTCGCGTTAGAGCGCTCTTCGCTGACTGCTGAGACTCCGTTTGCGCGCGTGTACAGAACCCATCGTGGTATCGGCCGCCAGGTAGAGCCAACCCCACCATATATATACATATATATACATATATATATATATATATGTACCGGCACAATTTTCGTCCTCCGTAAGCAATATATATATATTTATATTTATATTTATTCCGTTTCTCTCATTGATTTTTTACTTTGCCACTTTTTTATTCGGAGACACGTTAAAAAAAATTAATTTTATAAACAAAACTTTTTTATATATTTTTCGTAATATCACCAAGAGAGTAAGTGTTCATCAAATTTATTGCAAATAATAATTTAATAAAATTGCGAACTATTATCTCTAATGTAATCGTACACATATAAAATATACTAATGTTCTATTAGTGGTATCCAAAAGTAAGTGTTATTCTTATTTATTGCAAAATAATATTAATCAATAAAAATTGCGTTACGTATCATTTCTATTTCTCACGATTCCTATCGATGCGTGATATTTTATCATTTTTACGTACTTTTAAAACCAAATTTATTATTAACGCTAATATCTCGTTCACAATTTTAGCAAATACTTTTTCTGTAAGCTTTCATTAATGTATTTTCACCTACGTAATATAAATCCTCACCCGTTGCCCTATTAAGAAAAAAAATGATAAATGGATTAAAATAAAAAAAAAAAAAAAAAAAAAAAAAATAAAAAAAAAAAAAAAAATCTCAAAGTACATATTACGTATGTTGATAAGAAGACGACGGAGTTCAATGGAATTAGGGTATCCAAGTTCCGATTACGTAGCGATCAATAGNCCCGTTGCCCTATTAAGAAAAAAAATGATAAATGGATTAAAAAAAAAAAAAAAAAAAAAAAAGAAAAATAATAAAAAAGAAACAAAATCTCAAAGTACATATTACGTATGTTGATAAGAAGACGACGGAGTTCAATGGAATTAGGGTATCCAAGTTCCGATTACGTAGCGATCAATAGATCCCACGCGAAGTTCCGTTACGATCCGATCGATCTCAGCACGCGATCTTAATAACGATTATTCTTTCTTTTAAGAACACGCAAGGGGATAAACAATTTGAAGAAAATCTTTTTTCTTTCTTTCTTTCTTTCCCTTATTATTTTCTCTCTCTTTTTCATCTCTTATGTTAAAACGTAAATATTATCTAAGAAAGTTGATCACAGACACGTGACTAGTTTCTCACTTCCACATAGACGACGTCAGATCGATTAATCACTCGCAATTACGCCTACGTAAGGATAGATCGATCAATCGATCGTACTTCCTTCGTATTAGGAATAATCCTCATTGCTCTAGGCGCACACATTATCCGAAGGATCTATTTAAAATGAAAGTAAATTTGTGTTTACGAATGTTAACTATAGAGAGACCCTCCTAACCCACACCCCCGTCCCCCGCCTCCCGTCCCCCCGACACCCATAGTCATCCTACGCGCTTATATAATAACACATATTCACATATGGGTGTACACAACACATCGGTGACATTTTAATCTCGGTGCATGATCTCTCTTCAATATGCTATCTCGTATACGCTTCGTAATTATCGGATATTAAAAGCTCGCGCTCTTTGAACCAAGCGCGATATCGTGAATCCATTAACGTGGAGGAGATTTTAACGTTACTGCAAGACAGTGGTGTTCCTGCTGCTGCTGTTACTGCTGATGCTGCTGTATCATTATAATAATCACTTTTCTCTCTCTCTTAGAAAGCTATAATTATATTAATTACACGATGCACATCTTGAACGCATTCCTTTTGGTGGAAACGACGAAAGATCTGCACAAGGTGGCACGAACTTGAAAATATATTTTCAACATTCGAAAACGTTCGGAAACACCTTCTTTACTTTTTTTTTTTTTTATCATTCGTTAACTTACGACAAACGATTGAATTTAACTCGTGATATATATATATACCTTTTTTATCTCTTTTTTTGTTTCTTTTTATTGTTAAGCGCGTAACCTGTACTCTAAGAAAGTAAATGGATATTTTACACAGGTAGTAGTCTAACATCACGATTCTCTTTTCCTTTCTCATTTTCTTCTTCTTCTTATTCTTATTATTCTTATTCTTCTTCCTCTTCTTCTGTATCTTCTTCTCTCAGGAGATTTCTCGTGACCTCGCGTTATGCGGACCACCTCGGCCTACTCCTACTATATCTTTCTCTCTTTTACTTATACCTCTCATACTCTACCACTTCGTCTTTTACCTCTTCTTTTTTCTTTTCTTTTCTTTATCTTTTTCTTTCCCTCTTCTTTTCTTTCATGTCGGAGTATTACTACTACCTCCTCTACCAGCGGCCATTACGTACCACCAGTCTCACACTCGTCGCGAAGGAAAGCCGAAGCGTGGGTTAATATCGGCCGACAGTGCACCTGGATGAAAAGTGGAAGCGAGATAGAGGGATGAGATAGAGAAAGAAAGAAGAAGAAGAAGAGAATAAGAATGAGACAGAGTAAGATAGAGATAAGGTGGCGCTGGAAGGAACCTGAAGGGAGGAGGAGGAGGAGGACGTTAAGTATCGCCTGGTTTCCCCGGTTCTTGCCAGCTGTTTACAATCCTGGAAGACCGAGGTGGTACATGCCGTGGTACAACGTCCTGGTACCACCGACTATGGTAGCCACGACTTTCCTACTTGGTTAAGACGGGATACACGAAGGAAGGTACGAACCAACGGTTTACAACGTTTCCTTGCTACCTAGCTAAATTCAAACGGTCGATCCACACCAACTTAAGATCCAACATTTACGGTAACACTTAACACAACTGCAATAAGAGATAGAGTATTGAACTTGACCAAGAAAACCCGAAAACAGCTGTTGTTGCTGTTGCATTCTCCTTCTTCTTCTTTATTTAGAATACTGGACTAGAATTTGAGTGAACGTTTAAAAAAAATGGGTTTTAACGTAGTTATTGTTGTTGGTGTTACTTTTGTATCATACTTCTCTTACTTGTTCTAATAGATTACTGGCTTGAAATTTGATCAAAATGTTAAAATAGTTGGAACGTTACTGTTGTTGATGTAACTGATGTTACTGTTGCATCAAACTACTCATCCTACTCTCGTTCTGCTACTGATGGTTCTGCTACAACTTCTTATTCTTGTTTTTCTATTTAATCTACCACACTACTTCTTCTTATTATTATTCTTCTTCTTCTTCTTCTTCTTCTTCTGGTTACCTCGAACGAAGCGCTACCGGTTGTTCAAGCCCGACGAGAGACAACGACGGAACTCCCTACTCCAGGAGGAGGATTCTAAAGGTCGTTGCTTGCTCTAGCAGCATGCTCGATCGATCTTAGGACGATGACAGAGAAAGCCGGGCGTGGTCCGGTACTTTAAACCCACGATTTCGAGAGCCAACAAATTTTTATGATACCTTTCTTCGATAATTAATTATGTCAAAATCAATCGCACGTGTAATGTAATGCAATTGATCCAACAGATAATAATAATAATAATAATAATAACTCATTACACCGTATTAATCATTTCTTTATATCTACAATCTCTCATTCGTGTATCATTTGAATAATAATTTTATACTTATTTCGTTTAAAAAACGCGAATACTCTTTTTTAATAATATAAGAAGTTTGTATATTTTTATATTTAATAAATAAAAGTTTGCAAAAAAGTTATTATAACGATCAAGCGCGTTTGTTTAATTACTCAGAATGAATTACGAGTTTTGTTTTTTATTCTCTGGATCACTGAAAGATCTTTATTCCGTTTGAACGATCGTATAAGAAGAGAGAATCGAGTTCCTGGAATAGAGTTCAAGGTATTTGTATTCGTAACACGTTTCGAAAGATATGCGAATTTTGGTAGTCAGAGGAAAAAAAGATGTGTGTGCAAGACAAAGAGGGAAATAAAAGAATATAAAAAAGAAAGAGAGAGAGAGAGAGAGAGAGAGAAAGGAAGAACGCGTAGGATCACGTAGGACTGGTTAAGATT